TGAAGGACAATCATCGGCGGCTTAAAAATCAGAAAAGCCTGGATCATCCAGCCTTGATATGGCTTTGTCTGAATATTTTACTGGCATTTTAACGTTGAGTGTTTTTACATCATTCCTTCCTTCACGCTGCCAATCATCTTTCATCTGCAGAAAGAGAAGTCTGAAAGCCAGAAATTACTCCCTCATTTTATTGCAATTTATTGTCTTGTTCAAGTTTTTTCTTTTTTAATGAAGAGAGTCTCTAATATATAAAAACAAACAAACAAGAAAACAATAAGAAGCTGATTGGCTGCATCATTTGGAAATATTTATGAAAGCTTGTTCCCACATAAACATCAAAGTGGCTGCGACAATACATGTTGAAAGAGTGGTGACACTTTGCTTGGATTTATGTGGGCGTGTTGGAAACACTAGAAATATTTTGTTTTACTGTTTTTGTTGTGTTTTTTGTCAGTTTATTTATCGATTTATTTATTTTTCTGGCCCACCATGTTTGACACTGATTCTAGACACATTTGACATTTCACTATGTCGACATTTGCTTGCATTGCACTGCACTGCACGCTGACTGCAGAAACAGACACAGCGATAAATTGCCTGTAATTGTCTTGTTTTTATCCACAGCGAGCAGCATTTAAATAAATGACCTCTGTTAAAACTCACTGCAAGCCCGGCGCTGCACTAACTGACGGCAGCTACCTACTGAACGGCTCTGGAGGATTCAGAAGCCACGGAGAGAGATTTCCCTCAGGAGCCGGTGGAGAGCAAAACAGAGCGAAATGGAGAAACGCCACACAGTCACAGGCTAATGTTGTTTTGGGTTGTGACTGCTGGTTACATCCACAAATCAAATTGAGGCTGTAAGCTTTATGTTCAGCGACGAAATGTGAATAAATATGAGCAAATCAACATAGATGCACAACAAGGTCAACACGCAGCACTCTGATAAATACATCCACACTCCAGCTGGGTGGTTAATGCCAGTCTTAACAAGGTTAATCTTAAAAAAAAACAACAACTACAAAAAACTTTCCACATCCAGCCTCTACATGATGTCATATCCCCTCTCAAGTTTCAAACCTAAGAAGGAATATTGATCGATACGACATCAACAAGTCAGAAACTACTAAGTGCATTAAAAGACCGAAAGGTTCAGCACACTAAATGAGGATGGACACCATTAATTGAGGCTTAAATCAACTATGAATAAAGAATACATGTCTCAGTTACAGCAGGCCGCAGTCTCTGTGCTCAGCGATAGCATCAATAATGCAGGCTCTGATCTGAATTGGACTACGACTTTCAACGTGTCGTCTCGAGTTATGTCAAGCTGACAAACTGCTCGTCGCACGACTGTCAGCCTGTCAAATATCTCACAGAGACAATACAATGCATGCTGTGGCTGACTTTGAAGCTTCGAAGAGCGATCCAAATATCACATAACGCCACTTAACGAAAGGCAAAAAGGTGGTCTGACATTCGCCCTTTATCACATTATTTTTAATGGTGGTTTCACAACATGCGGTTATTGACAATAACTGGCTGTGTGGCGCGGTTTGCTTCCTCCCATTAAACAGAATACAAAGGCAACGACGCAATTAAAAGATGCCGTAAGAGATACACAAGAAAGTTGACTGAACTTAATGCAATAATAATTTGTAGGATGTCGAGACGATAGAAGTTTAATAGCAAATATCTCAGTGTGAAACTTTCTGTGCTAGAGGCGCTAACACAGAGCGAGCCAGGGATGCTGCAGTCTCCAGGGCTTACAGAGGTGTGAGATTAATGTACAACAAGAACACAAACGCTAGAAAAACAAAAACATCTTCCAACCGTTAAAATAAACAAACAAAAACACGAACGCAGCGGCAGAATACACCTTTACAAGCACGAGCGTGATCTGTGCAAATGAAGAAGAAGGGGAAATGCTACGCTAGCAGCTGTGTGAATTAGAAATGCTGACGTGAATCATTTTTCTGTGTTTTGTGATGCGTCAAACTGTGAATCCACTAGTTTGACATCAACTCACATTTTTATATTTAGATTTGTTGGATTAAAATGGTGATTGCAGCGCCCGCACGCTTTGATAATGAAGTCACATCAGGCTGCGTCGCTCCAAAGGTGAAGCGTGACGCTCGCACGGCTGATTAATTATCTGCTCGAATCCCAAAATAAAATACTTAAAAAAAAAAAAGCAACTTAGACACCACTCAAAATAAGAGGCTGTAAAAGGAAACTGTTCCGGTCATCAATATCATCACTGCGTTTAAATGAGTTGTTCTGGATTTCAAGAGGAATACTCTGGTGCGATGAAGCCTGCTGGGGTACGCCTTACCTTCAGCGTAATGTTCTTCAGCAGCGTGTCCTCCAACACGGCCTGCAGCTTCCTGTTAATCTCCAGCGACAGGTCCAGGGTCAGCCCGCTGTCTGCCGGGTGGGAGGTGTAAAGCGAAGCCATGATGCCTCCCCGCCGGCTGAGGTGGGCCTTGTTAATGTCAGATGCCTCTGATGAGAGGGCCCCTGTCTCCTCTCTCAGCACATAGCTCTGGATAATTCTGCAGGGATGAAGAGAGAGGAGATGAGTCAAACCACATGCTTCAAAAAAAAGTAAAGGGAATAAAGTGAATGCATCGGCTGGAGACTGCTGAGTGAAGAAAATTGAGAAAGTGGGATTTCATAGTTAGGAGCTCTCCATGCTCCCACAGAGCAATAAACCATTTCCAGCAGCAAAAAAGGAAAAGAAACTCAGCCGACATTACAAGAATACTAATCCCACTGGGATGGGCTGTTGCACTCATGTACGCGGGATACATTCAGTCATAGTTAGAAAGAATATTATTGTGCCTGTCAGAGAAGGAAAGGTAATGAAAATGCGGCGTAAGAGCGGCCGACCAGGATTCAATTAATCAACCGGCATGCCTGCATCCGCATATGAGAAAGTGAGATAAATCTTCATGTTCATTATACATTTTCATCACAGTAACAATATGGTGTCGAGGTTAAGCTATGTTTGTGTCACAGAGAGGGAAAGAAGAGAATTAATCAACTTAACAGCTCTAAACTTCCTGTTGTTCAATTTTCCCATCGCAGCCCAGCGAACACTGAGGAGCAAGTGTTTCCATTTAGAGGAGACCCGACCCATAGAGAGCCGCCACTGAATTTCAATTCATTACTGCCGCCTACATTCTTACTCCCCCCCCTCCGTCAATATGTGACCAAAGACAGAGAGTGAGAGAGAAAATAATGCAAAGTGCAAGCTCAAGCGAAAGATGCTGGTTATGTAGGGTAGCGAGATTAAAATGTTAGCATTTGTTTAAAGTCTGCTGTCATATGAGGGAAGATATTTGAGTTAGACTTTAGACATCAAAACTGAAACATGCGCAGGCCTTGTCCAATTGCATCCGTATCCTTTCATTTTCCAAACAATTAATAAAAGAGTGCAGATAGCTGAAGAGGGCTGCGTACTGTCCCAGAGAAAAAGTCAACAGCCCAGTACTATAATCGATATTTGTAACCCGCTGTCGATCCAACCATAAACCTAAAGTACTAAACTATCGAACAATGTGTAGTTCAAATTCAGGGTGGCTAGCTATAAGATGAGCTCAGAGTAGCGGGTACCTAAAATAATAAAAGCTGAAAGACTCGAGATTTTTAAAAAGATTCATTAGATAGGAATACATGTTTAAAACGCTTCTATTTCTATATTAAACACAACTACCACTACTGCCACAGCAAAACTCATTAAGTATTTATGAAAAATGCAAAGTAGGAATTAACACAGAACCATAACTGGAAATGAGTACAAAACATCATCCTGTGCTATGAGGAGCTTTACAGATCAGTCATCTTTCAGTCTGCAACAAGCTATGGATCCATTCTAGTCAATTACACTGACCTCCAGTGGTGTCCTTCAGTGTTAAACACCTAGATTTTTCTTAGGGTAGACATGCATGGGGGACTAAGTAATTCAAGAAGAGCCCACTGTTTAATTATTCCTGTTCGCAGAAGCATTTATGTGAATGTGTTGGGAAAGAGGCGAAAAGGGTCGGAAACATGCCTGTGATATTTTCATTAATATAACATGCATTAACGGCCCATGTTAAAATAGGTGAATCGAGTTGCAGGTACCAATCAGCATGCAGCAGCCTACATTTGTAAAAATGCAAAAGCACCAGCAATTCAACCCGAACTGAAAAGATTCAATGTTTGCATAAACAGAAAAGAGGGATTGTTTTTAACATGCATTTTAAGCATCCATACTCAGAGATGGGTCTTGCTCCTGTTCTTTTACAATGCATGTGCTTTTTATGCTAATGTAAATCTAACACATAAGGAAAGCTAACATCTACCTAAAAC